ATAAAGCGTTTTGAGTTATCTATCGTCTTAGCAGAACACACAAACTGATTCGTGGTTCATAGTCACAAAGTGAAAATAAATTTACCTGATATAGTGTGTTTGTGACTTCTGCGTGTCGCAACATACCCTGAGGAAAAGGCCGTATCTATCCTGTGAAACTTATAACAGCGCAACTACGCTTATCATGATAATTAAAAACATAATGCTTACATTCCGCAGCCACAGAAGAGGGTGTGCTGCCATCTGTTCATCTTGCTGCGTAAACAAAAGTTTCCTAGAGGCCGCATTTACTTCAAATAATTCACCTCCAATTCCTAACGTAGCACATTTTACTAATATCACTGAAACACAATTGCATTACAACAGAAGGAACACAGATTCATTGAAATTAGATTTCAGATGAGTAGTCCTCTGTTACTCTCAGTAGGTCTCATCCGCGTACACAGCGCATATACGTTTCCCATGGGTCCCAAAGTTTAAGAAAAGCATTTTTAACATTTGTATTAGATGTGTGATCTGAATAAAACATTCTCCAGATGTCCACCTGACAAGCATTTACAACTAACCACTTCACAAACAATATATATAAGTAGCTAAATAGTTTTCACTAAACTTAAGAGAAGTTGCAATTTATCGTCGGTCGATATTTAGTAGGTCCTTCAAAGCGTCATGCAATGATGAAATTATTTAACAATAAGTTATGCAGTAGTTTCTAAAGCTTGTACAAAGATTTTATTAATAGTCGCGGTTGCTTTATGACAAATAATAAGAGTCTTGATAACAACAATAACAACAGCGTTCATGTTCGTAATGACTTTAATAACAATAATAGGTATTATTATCACAACAAATTCATCATTAACTTAGGTAGATGACTACAAATAATACAATCATATCAGTTGAATGTATCACCTATTCTTAAGAAGCAGGTGTTTACTTACTTTTACTGTGTTCTCGTAATACTGGTGTGGCCAACTAGCTTATTCCAAATGAACTCAAGCTTAATAATTGAAGTGAATGTAGGCCCTTTTTTGTATCAACAGAAAACATGTAGCCTACATGTATTACACTGCTTAATGTAGCGTCTGATAACTGCTTTCCGATTTTCGTGACAAGAATACAGTATATGTAGGTACTTATATACTGCATCGACCATGCCGTTTTCATCATGATTAACCAGAATTCTATGTATTTCATACTAATTAAAGGGTCTCCGAAAATTGAAGTGGCACAAAGTTATCACCTCCTTAGATGCAATTTTGACACTCCTGCTAAGTCCCTTGTCAATGTAGTTGAAGATTGAACGATCAATTCATGGTTGTTTGCTCAAACCCAACTTCCCTGCGTTTTCGCGGAGACATCGATACACCAGTCATCGCCTCACCGGTCGCTGTTCAGAAAGAAGTCAGGCCAAAACTGTCAGAAGTAATATTGTGATTTATTATTGTAATATTTGTTCACAGACCTTAGTTAAAGCTTAAATTTAAAGTTGGCTATATATATTGGTGTTACAATAAAGAATTCTCGAGTAGCCAATCGGTGGTTAATGATTTATTTGGTATACCGAGTATCCTTCGCTTACATTTCGACGACTGCCTTCCGAAAAATTTCTTTGCAGCTTGTTGGGAACCTGTACTCGGTTATCCATTCTCCGATCATTTTTCGCGCAGTTCCTATTTCTGTTGCAGGAACTAAGCAATATGGTTGACATCGAATTCGTGCTTCTACACATTTGTTTGTGTTGTGATTGCTGAAAGTCAATGAAATCCATATAAACAAGCAAAAATTATTGCTCACATTCTATCAGAAATAAAGTTACGTTCCTCTAAAACATGCAGCGTTCACTAACTTTCCATAAAATGTTAACTCAAATGAATGCCTAATACAACATATTATAGTACTTGATGGATTTGAACAATTTAAACATCGTCGTGGTCAGGTAAGTATATATACTTAACGTGTGCGCGTTCTTGTCCTAATATTGATTTTGATTTCGTTGACCATCTGGAATGTGCTATTATCCTGAAGCTGCGTGTTTATACCACAAATATCCACATGGTTATCATGGAATCATGTGGACGTAGTGTCAAATATTAATTAAAGGGAAGACAGAAAGATCGATGTCTGCAAGTAAAGGACTCACAGCATATACACAAATGCCTTCAGACATCATCAGAAACACTACAACCCATTAATGGGGAGAACAGGTGACCTAACTCCTCTATTGTTGCTCTACAAATCTTAACGTCGTTAGCGTAAGGAAGAGTCGGGTAGCCTAGATGGCATGGTGGGTGGTTGATTGACTCTTAGTTGCTTTCGGGAACTAATCAGTGGGAGATGAGTGTGGTAAATTGGTCGGAAAATGGCGGTCGCCCCAGAAGTGCCATGGGTTATCTGAGATGGCAGCCATCTCTATTGCTGTACGTCATGCATGTGCTTTTCTCAAGCAGTGCCAGTTTTAATCTCTGGAACACCGCGTATAGCCATAGAGATGGAAGGAATCGGTTCTGGTGACTCCCTCGCTATTCTCATCTTAGCCCATGGCCTATAATGTCCCACTTTTATACTAGAACTCCTGTCGATAGCTAGTACCTGAGGCAGTATTAGTACCCTTTCAACCTCTTCGACAGGGCCCAGTGTAATCCTTTAACACGGGTGGTCTACCCTGAGGTGCGTGGACAGCCTGCACAATTTCGCTGAATTATTGTTCAGACCTAATTTATTGCACAGATCAGACCACTGCCCTTTATCAAACAGGGCCTGTTGTTCAAGCAAGCTATCCTTGCTCACGGGTACACTAAAAAGGATAAGGGAATTAGACCTGCTGACCTCAGACTCAGGTTTAGCTTTTGGCCGCCTGTCCACCTTTTCAGGGTCAGTAACTTTGGAATTTACCAAGTCCTGACTAGCCTTCGCTGTGTTGCTAAGCTTGCCAGTAGATGCAAGCGGTGCTCTGGCAATTCCATCTCCTTCTGATGCTGTAGGTGTAATTTTGAGAGCCTTCACTTTATGAGGATTAGTGATTCCAGACGCTGGCGAACATGCTGTAAATGAGTATTCATGATCTGAAATGAAGAAGCAACTGGTTTTCAAACAGTTTTCAACATTTTTTCTGAACTTACGAATGCAGTCCGCCATGCAGACACAAATGGAGCAAATGGAGAATTCTGGAACTGACCTCAGCACCATTTGATGCAGTAAAACAACTTCACATGACCTCATCTAGTCTTCGCATCCACGATCAAATTTCTTTCCTGTTATAAAACTACGATAAGACTACTGAAAAAATAGAATAAATATATCACTGATCTCAACATAATACATCAATAAACTTTGAGCCGAGGGTGCTGTTCACAACAAAGTTATGTAAGAGGATTGACTTCAAGCTTTTTTTCCCAGATATTTGTATTACATTCATCTGATGTCTGGGTTTTTTTAATGCGAAGACAATATCTCTATATCTCTTTATGTGCTACACAAACAGACTTTATAGCAGACTGTTCCGTCTGACTCTAATGTCAGAAAGAACAACCAAACTGTAAATTCATCATACATCAATTTGTGTAATTTATATAATAACTTATCCATGCCTGTACAATTGGTATGTTCCTGAATAAACAGGAAGAAATATATTATTTATTTATTCAGTCAGTCGGGCTGAAGTATCCTTCTTACTGATTTTTACGAAGTTTTGGTAGTGTGGTGTTAGCAGGTGGAAAGCTGCATGAGACTGTGGCTTGTTGTTTCTGCTATCTGCAGACACGCTGTCTGGGACTGTGCCAGGGTGACAAAGTGAGCAGGTATACCAGAACCAACGGCACGGGTTATTTCACATAAACTAATAGTATGGTTTCGGAACCCATTTGTCACAACGACAGTGTACCCATCGAATCAATTTTAGAAATGATAACGCTACAGGCCTGACATTCGTCTCGTTCTCTGGATGAGGTTCCTAAGTTTTTATGACGCCTTGAGCGTTTCCTCCTTGTTTTGCAGTGTGTCACGCACTGCCTTTCAGTGGATACCGTTGTAATATCATATCCAGCTGGTATTGCCTGTGCCTATTCAGTGCTAGACTGTGGTGATTGACGCGTAGTAATAGAAAAGGCGAGATAAACATGAGACTATAGAATCGGTATGCGAGATAGGGCTGATGTCCTCTGGCTTTAGCACTTGTGACTACAGGACATTTTGTTGTAATGCATTTTCTAAGGCTAATTTCAACGGCTATATTAGTAATTACTATAACTTACGTTATATAAGAATATGAGAGCAATATTATCTACCCACAAGAACAAGAATAAGACTGATAAATTACAGGATAAGAAAAAGAAAGTTTTTTCAACCTTATTTGGTACTTTTTGGTTAATCGGCTTGACAGCAATCACGTTGTTGACCAACAAGTATTAATTATCTGAACGAGTGAGGAAGATGCTGCTGAACTAGCACCTGAAGCTTTGAAGGTATTTTAAGACAGATGGGCTCACCATATGTAGATTTGATATGGAATTACTGGTTGAATTTCATCCACTGACTAAGAAGATCGGTTTTCTCTAGCGAATAATTCACAAAATAGATACTTTCCGTTGGAGGAAAAAAGCACGTCGTATTAATAGTGATATTCATGTTTACATCCTGTGGACCCTCGTATTCTTTATTTTAGCTACTAGTTAATTTCAGAGACCTCATGGGGTTCGTCAATGAAGAAAGTGGTTTCCAGTATCGTTGATTGTGCATTCTATGTTAAATCATTATTAAATAACTTTGCATTTGGGCTGAACAGTTATTGGAAAACAAACGCCGACATGAATTGAGGAAAAATTAAGGTTCCGATTTAATTTGCCGATAAAGTGAAATGAAACGAAGAAACTAGACTTTGTGATTGCAATATCTAAACCATAGTAGTATGAATACCCGATTTATTTGTTTAACTGCTTCAACGGAATACTGTTGCCGTTGTTATAGTTTGTCAAACAAGAACTAATTTGAATAGTTTACAAATGGGTGACATAGCCATACAGGATACTGCATTACAGTCGTTTAATCAAATTACAGGTGACACGAAAACTGTTGGGCTGAGGTCATCAAAATATTCTCCACAAGAATGGGTATCACATTTCAAGAGTAGATTTGGTCAAGCTGAAAATGATTGTGAGCAGTCAGAACGTGTAAATGATTACACAAAATCTGTAACTGATCTTACATCTTTACACACCATCTTTTCAGGTGATTAACAGCACAAGTGCACTGACGAGCAAACTTCAAGCAGAATCCACGAAGCGGCTGAAAGAAAGATTTCATGATATATTGTTTTGGAAACAAGAACTGGAGAGAGAAATAAATGACATAATTCATGAAACTTCTATTTTGATTAATGAGAAGAACAGGTTACAAAGCTTTCTCATCGAAACCGATGTTCCACTTCAAATAGCAAGTGAAAACCTTAATACCAGAGAGTATAGAAGAGGAATCGACAAAGTTATGGACCCTGTAGAAACAGAATTGCACGCTGTAAGTAATGTTAAAGTGTCTGTTGGCTTTTTTAGTTTAATTAATAATATAAAATCTGTTTATACCACCCAGTAGGATAAAATTGTTGAAACAATTGTTAAATAATGGTTAGAACATGTATGATTTTGTCGAATGTTAAGAATGGATGAATTTTGATTGACTAATCGAATATCCAGCATCGTTTATACGACCTAGTATAAACCATTCTTGCTTCTTTGTGCTGGCTTCTTGATTGTGATGTAATCGTTCCTTGTCTTCGGTAAACTTCTGCGTAGTTCGTCTCGCCTCTCGAATGTCTGAGCTGTGGTCAACTCCAGAAGGAGTAGTGCTTGGATTAATTATATGTTATTCGCAGTATGCAGTGTGTTAAGACCGTGCCGTTACCGTGAATAAAGTTGACGCTTTCACCAATTAGTCGTCCGGTATCGTCGACATAAGAAAAGAGATGGTAATAATAATAATAGTGGTAACATACAATTGGACTGACACAAAAGACTTGGAGGATCTGGATTTCGCCGATGATATATGTCTGATTTCCCATAAACTGGAAGATATGCAAGTGAAAAGTAACAAGTTGGCAGAAGAAGCATCAAAGATAAGACTTCAAGTGAACATAGATAAAACAGAGTTGATGAAGATTCCTAGCCAACATCAACAGCAGCAACAACAACAGACAACAATCAGCATAAGTGGGAAGAACCTGAAAGAAACAACCTCCTTCACCTACCTGGGAAGCATCGTTTCAACTACAGGCGGCGGAGCTGACGGGGATATCAAAGCCAGAATCGGAAAAGCAAGACAAGCTTTCATTACTCTCAAATCTGTGTGGAGGTCAACAGCACTCAGCATCAAAAATAAGATCAGGATTTTCGACTCCAATGTGGAGTCAGTGCTACTACACGGATCAGGGACTTGCACTGCGCGTCATTAAGAGCATCTCAAACAAACTACTGATCTTCATTGACAGTTGTCTTCGCTCAATACTCAAGATCAGATGGCCAGAAAGATCAGCAACAGGGATCTCTCGCAATGAGCGAACCAACTCAGCAGGAACCGATTGTGAAACAAATAGGCAGGAAGAAATGGAGATGGATTGGTCATACGCTGAGGAAATCATCAAGTGACATCACTAGACAAGCCCTCGAGTGGAACCCGAAAGGGAGGCGGCGAGTTGGTCGTCCAAGGGTGACTTGGAGGAGGTCATGCGAGGAAGAGATGAAAGCATGTGGACAGACTTGGAGCAGGGTGAAAAAGTTGTCAGAAAACCGAAGGCAATGGAGGTGCGCAGCTGAAGCCCTATGTTCCTCTAGGAACTAAAGGATACAATAATAATAATAATTGGTGTAGATTATGAAGACAAAAGACAGAGAAGGAAATAGAAAACATAAAACAGACAGTTAATTAAATTTGAATTTTATATATATGTATACATTTAAATATATATGAATATAATATAAATAATAATAATGAGTTTAAGAATAGTAGTTGGAGTGGTCAGAAGAGTAATAGGGGAGATAATGTGAAGAGACGAATTTAGATGTCTACCCATAAGTAGTGTAATGGTGAAAATGGGAAAAATTGTCTGAATAATAGTTAATGTGGGAAATCAATGGCTATATTTTAATATAATTTTGGTTAAATCTTGCGGAAATGCTGTTTTTATATTGTCCGGAATTGTGGAATACGGGTTAAGTTTTGGCCAAAATAGGAAATACTGTGTTACATAACTAAAATTCGCCCATTTTTCTAAGTGTGGACCAAGTCTATTATTTGCCTACTTTTCACTCGGTTTTTATCATTTCTGGTTGGCTGGGCAGTGTGTAGTTGGTGTAATTATATGTACTATATCTCAGTGGTATTACTATTTCTACCATCCTGAATTTTACCATTTGAAATTTATCTGACCACGACACTTCATGCTAATGATTTAAAATGAATATCAGAATAACTGTCAAGGTTTATAGGTTATTTATCTGATATTACTGTCTATGCCTATTCGATTAGATTTTGTTAATTTTTCTAGAGTTGCATACTAACCGAAAACTTAAGTTTTATCATAACCGTTGCAGAGAATTGTTATCTAAGAACAATGAATATTGGAACTTTTGTTACATGAACCACTAAAGGTTTTTGAAGATACATGCTCTGATAGGAAACTTATTTTATTTACTACTTTACTGGTAAAGTTAACTTTCATAAAAAGACTTCGACTTACTGACTTAGTTCTAGGTAAAGGACTAAATGGAACGGATCGCGATAAAAAAACTTTTTTCCAAGTGCGACATTTTTTTGCACTCTCATACGACATTGGGAACATGACGGTTAAATTTAACCGAAATAAGTCTGGAAATCTGATTTACCGCTTTTCATTCCCTAATTCATATTATTCCTAACACATTTTAGATATAATGTCGAAGATGTATTCTCGAAAAAACTTTTTAAAACCCTTTCACCTGCAATTTTCTCAAATTTCAGAGACATATTTTACGGAAACTTCTAAATTGTTGTGTGATAGAAGTCTAGGTAGACAAATCTCATCACTCATGCAGTCCCATAAGTTGCAGTGGCCAGCATTTGTGTCTGCTGTGGTTTTCAACACCATTATCAAGCATGATATGAGATGGCTTTATTTGAAATTGTATTTCATTAATGCATATTGAGATAAGAAATATCATTAAAAGCACATCACTTCTCGTAGTCACTACAAGAACAAGACCTTGTTAACCCTTAGGTTTTTTACCTATGTATCTCAAGGAATTCCTTAGTTCAGCCTCTAAAATTGCTAATCATTGAAAATCTTCTCAACAGTGTCAAAATTCAGATGGAAGGCCTTACCAGCAGTTTTATCAAGACCACACCATGTCTGGTGTTGGCATTCATCTTTTCTTCCAAGTCTTGTAGCCACTTTGAAAGAAAAGGGATTTTTTATACCTCAGTAGTTTTTATTTTGTAAACTGTTTCTTGCCTTGAAGGGAATTGATTCTGGTATAAGTAGGGCCAAACAAACGTGAATTTGTCTGTGAATTTGGTGTATTAGTCATCAACAGATGAATTAACGCCGATTGGTCAGTCGGTCGATAACTGGCCTCTCATAATGGCTGTGCTACGTGCAGATTATTAATGTAGGAGTATGTCTGAAAGTATGTATAAGAGTGTAAGTTCAAGCGAAAGTGTATATAAATGGGTTGATTTACAAGTAAACACATCCAATCGAAAAACCGCGTCACTGTTTTGTGTAGTTTGACAGAATTCCTGACCTTAGTTGCTTTGTTGTTTGACAGGGAAACATGACGTGCAAATATTCATTAGTTATCAAACCTACAATTTGGAGCTAACCGTAAATCTTGAAGTTGATTGTAGGGTACTGATGAGACTCTTGATTATCACTGCTTTGTAGCCATCTTTTTGATCCATTCAGGAGCATCTTTGCTTTGGATACACTTGAGGTACATTCAAGAGTTCTTTTGTACAAATGACAAGGTGAACAAGTCTGTATTTCCTTGTCCGAATTTCGTTGTATACTTTCGTAAGATAATTGAGTAACTTCTACAACAGCCGATAAAGATACAAGATGAATTCTTTAACTCAGACGATATTATACTTATCTTCTAACTGTGTTACTGTCATGCATATAGGAGTTGTTCATTGATGGCTTTGATGCTAGACTACTTAACTAAGTTACACAGGCTCTTATGAAAGTTTAACATTATTTTTCTTTACTGCTGACAAAGCATTGTTATAAAAATGAGTTATTTTCATCCTTACTTACTAGTAAAACGAAATCATTTGATATTTTTACTTCCATGAAATATCAACATTATACTATACCGTATATATGAAGGAAGTGGAACTCATAAAAAATATCCAGGGACTAACCAAAAACGCTATCAAACAGGCTGAAAAACAGATATTGTGAGTTCAATACCACGTCTAGTTATTCTATGCGACATTTTCTTAAAGTTTAGTGTTTCAGCTGTGTAAATTTGCTTTTATTTTTGTCTTTGACTGATAAATTTCATGTGATCTTTAGTTTGGAACTAAACAGATAGCTAACTAATTGAGATGATTTCATATTTTACGTCTTCTACTTAATCTCGAGAGAAATACATTTATGCACTTAATGGAAGCTAGATGGATGGGTGTAACCCATCATTAAATTATATAGTAGTGTGTTTTCACATAAATAAGAGAATGTTCAGTAAAAATAGAATGATATAAAAATACTAAAAGGAGGATATGGAGTATTTGTATGAGGTTCAATGATACTGTTTTACAAATTGCAGATGATATGAAGTGATTGTATAGGTTCCATTATGGCATATTTTGAACGATGCCACAGATAGTTTCAAGCCAATGGTCTATAAAATATAGAAGAACTCAAACAATTCATAAAATTCTTCATTCTTCACAGTATCAGTTACTGACTTCACAAAGAGGCATCATTTTCCATCCGTTCAAAAATAATCCTAACTTGTATAGTATTGTAAAAGCAGAAGGCAAAACAGTAAGGCCAAGGTGCATTTTTCATTGATCAAACTACTGTTTATATATACACAGTTTATATTTCTTTAACCAGTCACTGAGCGTGCGATTTTGGCTTACATTAAACGACATGAAATACATAGCATTCTGTTGCTAACGCAGTAAAGAACTGTGGAAATATGTGAGAATAATATTCCGTTGGAACACATTGCCTCTATCACATCCCCACACTATGGAATCATCATCTTTATAATCGTATCAGTGAAATATAAACGTGGTCACTTTACCGTGAAAGTGAATTATTCCCCATGCTAATCCAAATCCTACTTCTTATGGGATCGACTAAAATGAACTAGTTCTGTCTAAGCAGAGTTCCCTAATTCTTTCTAATAGTCATAGTGTTCCGAAACACTTTGAGGGAAGCCTGGTTTATGACTGGCGCCTTAATGTTTTTACAAACAGTATTCTTCCTTTTTACCCAGACAAAATCGTGCTGTCAAAGAAACTCTAGAAATTAACTGGAGCGACAAGAAAGAAGCTGATGAAATAGATGCGAAAGCTGGTAGTTTGAAGAATTGTTCTACAAACAAACAGTTTTACGCTGGAGTTGCTTTATATCAGGTAACAAAAAAAGTGATTTATTTAGCTCTACAGAAGTTTAAATTATAAACTGTTAACTACTGGTTAGCATTTATGCTTAATAAAGTGAGAAATATTTACCTATCTTACCAGTCTAGTATGGCCTTTAGAAAAGTTTATTTTTTAAATAACCTAGAAAAAATCATTTTGGACGGATGGAGTATGAAGCCTACACTGTACTTTAGATATGATAGAGAAGATTTGTAGCTCAGGTGGATAATTTTGATGTGGTTTTGTTCTCTGAGCTGGATAGTTAGTTTGCGAAGCTTTCATCACCTTACTGGGTGACATCTTCAGCGCATACTTCAAATTGAAGTGAGCTTTTAGGTTTCTCCACGAGTTTATTAATCATTCCTCCTGGTGACCTTGGACGTGATTGGTTGTTTATGTATGTTTTCACACCTTCTAGGTTACTTGTGTTGGAACTGATTGTTTCTGTGACTTGAACTTTGGCCAATCGTGTGTGAAGTTTCTTTCTTATTGGTTGATAAATTTTGTCTATCTCGATGTGTCTATTGATTGATGATTCACTGGAATGCCAAGCTTCTAAAAATTCTCTAGCATTCTTGTTATTTCCTTTGTCTAATATTTGAACGTTGTCCCAGTCGAATTGATGTCCGTGGTTGTCTGTGTGTAGTGAAATGAGGGAGTGTATATCATGTCTTTTGACGGCTAGCTTATGTTCGTGGATACGAAGACGAAGGGGACGTCCACTTTGGCCAATGTAGTGTTTTTCACAGTTGTTACAGTTTATTTTGTAGATGATGTTGGTTTTGTCTTCTTTTGCTGTTGAGTCTTTTGGTTGACATAGAATTGAGTGCAGCGACTTTGTTGGTTTGTGTACGACGTCAATTCCTAAAGGTTTGAAGAGTCTTTTAGTGATTTCTGAGATATCCTTTATATATGGTAAGGCGATTTTCTTTGTGTTTTCCTTGGTGGCTTTTGTTTTGGTAGGTTGGCTTGGGGGTATATGTCTCTTGATGAAATTCCGGGGATATCCATTCTTTTGGAAGACGTCCATGAGATACTTTTCTTCAATTTTTCTTAAGGTGGGAGTGCTGCAGTGAGTCCTTGCTCTCTTGAATAGTGTTTGTATGCAGTTCCTTTTGTGTGCTATTGGGTTGTTGCTGTTGTAATTCAGTATTTGGTCTGTGTGAGTTGATTTCCTATAAACTTGAGTTTCTAATTCTCCTGTAGTTGTTCGCCTGACTAAGACGTCCAAAAATGGTATTTTGTTCTCGGATTCCTCTTCTCTTGTGAATTTGATGTCGTTGAAGACGTTGTTTATTAAGTTGTGAGTTTTGTCTAATTCGTTTCTTTTGATTATTACAAATGTGTCGTCGACGTAGCGTATCCAAATCTTGGGTTTGATCTTTGGTAGAATTATGTTTTCGAGTCTTTGCATCACTGCTTCTGCAATCAAACCTGATATTGGCGATCCCATGGGTGTTCCTTTGACTTGTTCATATATTTGGCCGTTGAATTGGAAGTATGTTGTTAGGCATAGATTTATGCATTCCATCCAGCTTGTGTGTTGCATTTTTGATTGTTGTGGAAGTTGTTCGTCGTTGCTAAGTAATTGCTCCATGGTTTCTTTTGCTAGTTTTTGTCCGATAGAGGTATATAATGCTGTCACGTCGAAGGATACCATTATTTCTTGTTCATCTATTTGGATGTCTCTGATTTTCTCTAGGAATTGGATAGCAGAGTTGATGGAGTGATCACAGGATTCCGTTAGGTGTTTTAGTTTTCTGTATAATTCCTTGGACAAATTATATGTTGGAGTTCCTGGGAGTGATACAATTGGTCGTAACGGGATATTTGCCTTGTGTATTTTGGGTCTGCCGTAGAATCGAGGTAGGACTGGTCCATTGGATTTCATTCGCCATTGGTCTTGTTTTGTGATCTGTCCAGTTTTGTTGAGCTTGTTTAAGGTCCTTTGGATGCGGTTGTCCAATGTTTGTATGGGATTTGTTGGGAGTTGTTGATATACATCTTCATCTTTGAGTAGTTCTTCAGCTTTCTTGGTGTATTCTTCTCTGTCCATGACTACTGTTGTTCTTCCTTTGTCGGCTGGTAAAATGACGATGTCCTTCCTATTTTTCAGCTTTTTGAGGGCCTTTAGTTCTTGAGAGTTGAGTTGTGTGTGTTGTCTTTTCTGTTTGACCATTGGTACAATTGTTTGGCGTATCTCTTCCTGTGTTTCCTCGTTCAAGTTTGATGATTTGAGTAATGATTCAAGGGCAGCGAAGAAATCAGTTTTTGAAGCATCTCCGGTGTTGTAGTTTAATCCTTTTTGTAGTAGTTGTTGTTCCATTTTTGATAGTGGTTGTTTTGATAGGTTGACTACGCAGTCTATGGGCGTATTGTCTGGTTGTTGTTTTCTAATCTTGGCTAGCTTGGTTTTGAGGACTCTTCGTCTTTGTTCTCTGTGTTTTCCACTTGACAGTGAAATTGCGGTGATCAGCGTTGACAGGTGTTCTTGGTTGAGGGTTTTCTCTAATTTTGCTTTTTGGACATCTATTATTTGTTGATATTTGTTGATCCGATAATGTGCGTCCGTAATCATTAATTTGACCATTCGTCTTCCACATTGTTCGGCCAATTTCCATCCCATTGGGCAGTTGACTGGTGGCTTGTATCTTACACTGTTTGGTAGGATTGAATGACGAAGGCACTCATGGAGAAAGAATAATTGTTCTCTGGTGGATCCTTGCCTTTTGGCGAAGTCTTCCCACTTTCGAACAGAGAGAAGCGTATCCCGCTCGTAAGATTTAGATATGATAGAGAAGATTTGTAGCTCAGGTGGATAATTTTGATGTGGTTTTGTTCTCTGAGCTGGATAGTTAGTTTGCGAAGCTTTCATCACCTTACTGGGTGACATCTTCAGCGCATACTTCAAATTGAAGTGAGCTTTTAGGTTTCTCCACGAGTTTATTAATCATTCCTCCTGGTGACCTTGGACGTGATTGGTTGTTTATGTATGTTTTCACACCTTCTAGGTTACTTGTGTTGGAACTGATTGTTTCTGTGACTTGAACTTTGGCCAATCGTGTGTGAAGTTTCTTTCTTATTGGTTGATAAATTTTGTCTATCTCGATGTGTCTATTGATTGATGATTCACTGGAATGCCAAGCTTCTAAAAATTCTCTAGCATTCTTGTTATTTCCTTTGTCTAATATTTGAACGTTGTCCCAGTCGAATTGATGTCCGTGGTTGTCTGTGTCAATTCGACTGGGACAACGTTCAAATATTAGACAAAGGAAATAACAAGAATGCTAGAGAATTTTTAGAAGCTTGGCATTCCAGTGAATCATCAATCAATAGACACATCGAGATAGACAAAATTTATCAACCAATAAGAAAGAAACTTCACACACGATTGGCCAAAGTTCAAGTCACAGAAACAATCAGTTCCAACAGAAGTAACCTAGAAGGTGTGAAAACATACATAAACAACCAATCACGTTCAAGGTCACCAGGAGGAATGATTAATAAACTCGTGGAGAAACCTAAAAGCTCACTTCAATTTGAAGTATGCGCTGAAGATGTCACCCAGTAAGGTGATGAAAGCTTCGCAAACTAACTATCCAGCTCAGAGAACAAAACCACATCAAAACACTCTACTTTATTGTATTTTAAATGATAGTGCTAATAACCAGTGAGAAACTGCTCCTCCTCTCTAACCGACTACAGTTCTGAAATGGAACTACTGTATTATTTCAAAAATAGGGTTGATTTCATACTAACTTTTTAAGGTTTATGATTGATATAAGAATAGGACTTGTGCACTGTGGTTCAGTATAATTCCACTGTGGTTAGGATTTATTTTGATAAAGTCTCACAGTCGTATACAGTAATATTTACTAATGATGTTTCGAGTGCAATTTATTGCTCTTAATCATATCAACGTATTCATACAACTTTCTAACTTCGTTTATATAATTCAATTTTTTTCATCGCTTGACTTGATTGGTAGCAGTATTTTCCATATTTCCGTTATGAGTGATAAGTCATTCCTATTGCACGTGTCGGGTGTAGATTCAATGAACAAGGACTCTGTAATCACACCTCTCTCCACCTACCTGCATTACTTTTTAGAATTTTAACCCTCTAGCACCCTGTTGTGTGCTTGTGTGTTAACGCATACAGTTCAACTGCTGAGCTTTTTTCTAAATTACTCATCTTCTCCGGGTCAGTCATTTCGACCTCAGCCAAAATCTTATATTCTGAAAATGTTGCTACTCCCGATTTACTAGTTTGATATATGTAGTTGACCTCACAGTCACTGCAAAGTATGTTGCAAATTATATTATTTAGTTAAATGTCTTTATAATCGAGCCAAGAACCTAACTATTAGGCCGAAAGATAACGAAATAACGAAATCAAACAAATAAAGAAAATATTACTAGTGAATAACTACCCATTAGAATTTATTCAGAAATATATGAAAAACCGTAGAAAAACTAAGACTAGCAATAAAAATGATGGAAATAATATGGAATTCAAAGCTTCTGTAGCACGGCCGTATAAAGAATAGACGTCAGAGGCCTCACGTAGAATTCTCAATGATGCTGGAATTAGTGTGCCACTTAAACCAAACAACTCTTTCAGATTTATACTTTGTTGGCTTAAAGTTCCAATTAGGAAAAATGATATAATTTATCAAATAACATGTAATGACTGTGAGATCACTTACGTAAGTAAAACTAGTAGATCGGAGTCAGCTAAATTATTGGAACATAAAAATTTAGCTAGACCTAGAATAATAACCTAGAAAAAACAGCATTCAGTAATTGCATTGCACTCACTCGCATGTAATCACAAAATAGGGTGGGACAGGGTAAAAGTATGAAAAGTAATATAGTTAGGTGGAGAGAAAGGTTAACCATTGAAACTTTGTTTATCGATTCAACACAGAACACATGCAATCGGAATGACTCAACGCGTATACCGGAGATATAAAAAGTGGCAACAAACAACAAAGGGAAGTTGGAGAAACAGAAAGAGAGAAAATATATATAAGACAAAACGTGTAACTAAACTGATATGATTATGAACCATAATTTTTCTGGAAACGTCATCATGTTGTTAATACTGCATCACTGTGTGATATTTAAAATGAACTTATCTAATATGGAATAATACTCTACCACAGTGTCCAAGTTCTATACTTACATTATTTATATTATTTTGTGTAACTGCGTCAACTGGGTCCTTTAACTTTTTTTCCTTCACGTTCCCCAGTGGAACATAGGACTTCAAGCTAGTGGCTTGAAGTTTCTGTAGGAGTGTTTATTTTATCGGATAGGGCTGCTAGTCTCATGCCCAACCTTTCCTCTTTACCGGCATTATTTCTGGCTTAGCGACGTAAACGAGTCCTTTGGCTTACTAAGGGTTTTATTAATACCCGAGAAATTTTATTTACAGAAAGGGGATGATAATTCCTAAAGAAATAAATTCAAAGTAGACTTAGCGGTGTAATTACTCTAGCCAACATACTAATCATACTTACGATAAATGTAAACAAGTGCAATGGGTTTACAATTAAACAGAATATTTAAAGGTGCGAGATAGTTGGACTGGTTAAAGTCAAAATAAATTAAAATTGAAGGTATTAAATTGCATCTTAGTTTCTACAAGGAAGACTTTTCAAGTAGTCATGTGTAATAAATCGCTCATCAGTTACCATTATCGATGATCTATTAATTCAGCACCAGGTCTGTTTACTCACTTCATCACAATAGTTCATTCATAAGTGCCTAAGAGCAAACTGATTTAATTAATTTAAATTTAACTAGGTTCCTTAATAGATCTTCGTGTGCCTCAAAAAAACTTCAAATAAATTTTTAAAACTTTTTAATTTCCTCAATAAATTTCAGCAGTCATTCTGTAAATGAGCCCTCAGTTCTACTGTGTACGGCGATATTGAAGAACAATGTTTCACTTTGTAACAGATTATCTTTTTTCTCCATTTTAAAATGTAATAGATACCTTGTGTGTGCGTGTGTGTGTGTGCATTGAAATGTATGTAAAACAGACTGCTTGTTATGTAATTATCAGTAGTCGGAGGCCAATTTCAATTGACAGTTGTTTCGTCTTGGATTGGGCGTTGTCAGATCTTAGCACCAATGCTTTTATTGAAGAATAAACTCCTAATGAGCATGGCATCTCTTAGTGGTCTACTCGAAAGTCAGTGATACCTACTGTTTAGCTTCTAATGAAAACTACCCTAAAACCAATAGATTTCCAATGGAGTATTCTAATTATAGACGATTCATCTTGGCTAAATGTGATTCACACTACTGCTGATACGTTTTCAGTTCAGTTGTATTTTACATATCTTCTATCATCGACTCTACTTTCAAAATTCTGGGAAAGAAATATCTCAGAGCCGTTGATTACTCTTTAGTAATTAATTACGATGGAAGCTGAGCAATTTTTTAAATTATTCCAGTCGTTTAGGTTCCACAATCAATGAAAGAATGAAGAGGGTTCTCTGATAACAAACATGGAGCTAAAAACAAATGTCATCTATTTTGAGATTTACTTTTGGAATGAAGTTAAAAACAAGGTCGTTTTCGCTATCATTTTACAATTAAGTATCAATAGATATATTACATTCACAGTTAGTTCGTCACAGATTAATAGTTCTGTGTTATCAGGCGGTTGAGGAAGAAGAAGAAGATAACAATGTGCATATTTACGTTTTGGTGTGGTTAGCCCTTAAACTACAATTTATATATTGCGTGTGATTATTTAAATATAATATTTCTTTCATATGTGCTGATATCAGTTTGCAAGCCTGGATTTAAAATCAAATGAAACTGTGTTTTGTCCTGTCATTTTAATTTCAGCAGTTATCTATGCATTTTCTGCACACGGATTTATAAATGAGGCTATATTCAGTATTCCAACGTTGAATTAAAACTAACAAGAGATGCGTGTTGGCATTTGTTTCTCCTAAATTAGGTGATACATAGTTTTCCCTGTATACATCACGTTAAAAATCCCCGTATTTGGTATTGTAAAACCAACCCAGTTTTGAATGATTTGAAAATTTACATTTGACAGAATTAGTTTACTTCTTAGCATCAATTATTTTTAAGTTTATATTTTCTTAGTAATAATAAAAATCAATTACCCACACCCTATACTTTTAAAACTATGTCGTCGAAGCTTCGCTTCGGCATTTGTATACTACTCTGCAGGATCTTCAGTAGTTGAAAATTGTCGTCAACAGACTACTTTCTTTTCTTATGCCAGGTATGCATAATGTGCATGGGATTCGTTTGAAGTGACGCACTATCTCTTTCGAAGTTGGTGCTTTGTTTATATACAAAAGTAACGCACTCAAAGGATGTCCGCACTCATTGGTTTTCCGTCTTTTGGTTCAATTCCGTTACTACTTTTTATTTTAGTTTCATTTCCCTTAGTAATTCTGAAGTTCAAATTAGTTCGTGAATACTTCAGTCTAAAATTTTATTAATTAGCATGTCCATTCGATGTTATCATCATTCTAGGAGAACATGTCAACTGTGGAAAGTTGGGCAAAAGATGCAAACGAAGTAATTACACAAGCAGAGGCCGAACGTCTCGCTAGCGTTGAATTACGTTCACTGATATCACATTTGATCGTGGACACATCACGTGAAATGAGGCAGCAATTCGATCGTGTAAACTCAGCTTTTCAAGATAATTTAAACCAGCTGATTGCGGTTAAAACAAATTTGGAGGAGAATCTGAAGAATGTAAACACTCAAAAATTGTTTTGTGCACAATTTCTTTATATGCATTTTACATTAAGATATTTTTTGGAACTTTTAAATGTCATTTCATTTATTCTATCACGTTAGCAAGATGTGCCCTCGCTTAAGAAATTTTTATATTGTTCATTTGAAGTGAATGGAAAACATTTTGTTCATACAACAGTCCAATAACTACGATGAACAGCTTCAAACATGAATGTAAGGTGTGTCTCTAAAACTGTAATATTACTACTGTCGGGTTGCTTAACAGAGAAGCCATAATGGTATAAGCATGCTTTGACACTATATTAATTACTGTTTGAGGACATTCTGGAGCTCTTTTTCTTAGTAATGACTAATACAGTATTAAATCTTATTAATTGTGGTCGGATTCGTGTCAATCATGTTCCACTCTGTATCTATTTACAAATACTTTTTATTTCTGCAACTGTCTATCAGCAGTTATGAGCAGGAAAATGCTTTTCATTTCAAACAACTTAGTGGCTATCTCCTTTGCTGAGTAGATAGGCCACTCAAAAATAAGGTGAGCACAGTGTTTCACTGTAACATATTTTATAACTGTAGCAACCGTTTCACTTTCTTTGTAACTAAAGTTAACAAATCCCCTGTGAGTGTAATTTGGATGGATTATGAAAATAAGCTTGACAGTTATTAGATTCATGTTCGGTAGTAGTAACTGCTCCTGTTCCAGTGGTTGAATGGTCTACGACCTGGGGGTGCTGAGTCCAACCCCTGGGATGGGGGGCGTTGGATACAGATGAAAAGTTTCAAACTAGCATAAAACAGACTGGTTGCGCAATAGTCCTCTGACGGATGCTAGAACATAATCGAACCTGTAAGTACTAATTTATTGTACTATCGAAATACACTACGTGTAAAGATTCACATCTTGTGAAAAATATTTTACAAAAAATATCAGAAGATTAAATGTTCACCGAGGGAGAGGGCTCTCCAGTGGTTGCGCCACAGGATGATCCTGCATGCCTGTCTCGTCTCGCAAGAGGCAGGGATGGGTGTGTTTTAGTTCTCCTGAAAACCAATACCCAGTCAATCGGTGTATCACTGTATGAATAAACTGGTTGATCCTGCCAGCAGTCATATGCTTGTCTCAGAGATTAAGCCATGCATGTCTAAGTACATACCTTAAAACGGTGAAACCACGAATGGCTCATTAAATGTGAGTCGGTGGCACAGCGGTTAGGACGATCGCCAACCATGCACATGGTCCGCGGTTCAGTCCTAGGCCGATGCACTCCTTTACCGCGCTAAGCCAGAAATAATGCTGGTAAAGGTTGGGCATGAGGCTAGCAATCCTTTCCTGTAAAAATAAACACTCCTACAGAAACTTCAAGCCACTAGCTTGAAGACCTATGTTCCACTGGAGAATGTGAAAGAAAAATTATTATTTATTAATTCAATGTTAATATTCCTAAAGCTTGCTTAAAAATATGGTCTATTTTGAGAAAATTAATACATCTTAGGATATCACGTGAAATTAATAACTTCTATGTATCACACAGCTCTGTTTTACTGGAAAACTTTATGTGATCCGACCACCTTGTTGAAATGCTACTGTCATCTATTAAGGAGGTAATTATTTGCTTATCTTCTCCAAAACATATTTTCAATCGTAACATCCTTCTATTTTTGTTAGGTATTATGTGAAATATCTTTAATGGAACATAATTTAAATGAATTAAAGGAGGCGATTCGTGCTAAAGATGATCCCTTGAAATGTGCTCAAACACGGTTACATCTTCGTACATTCAGACCGAATATGGAATTATGTAAAGATCCAGCATCTGTAAGGTAGGCTCATATTTTTCCTGCTAAGGTCTGGTAGAATGCATTGGATTTTCAATTAGGCAATCCTTCTGACCTTACAGCGAAATTATAATCTTATCAACTAAACAAGACGGTTAGTTAAAGAAGAGCAGTGGTGAAATTTTGAAAATACTCATCTCCTGAACAAATCTGGAAAGTTTTATGGTTTCATTCCCCAATTAGTTAATGAAGGAACAAGAATGGAAATAATTTAATAATCCAGTAGTTTAAATGGCGGATAAATTGTGTAATTAAAATTCGATGCTCTGCATATATTTGATGGGGTTGCACTCTGTCAGCTACCTAGCTGATTTAACTGCAAATCTTTCATTGTCCCTCTAAACAACATGTTCAGCGCTTACTTCGACGCGAAGCGAGTTTTACATCTAGGATTCCCCATGAATTCCAAAACTGTCAATCCTAACGACCTTGACTGTGATTGGTACTATTATCCTTGCGTTAGTTTCAATCGGTATCAGGTAGTTCTGTGATCTGGAATTCGACGTTACTTTCATGTGATCTACTCTCGATATGATGATAAATTTGGTCCATTTAATAAAGATTGATCTCAGTACCACGCTTTTAGGAGTTCCCTGGCTTTTATAGTACTTCGACTTTCTAAAGTCCCTACATCCCTCCAGTTACACCGGTATCCATAGTTATTTAACTATATGGATATGAAGGAATACACGTCCTGCCTTTTGACAAGTAGTTATGTTCTTGGATTCAAAGTCGAAAGGGACGCCCACTTTGACCAATGTGATGCTTTTCACACAGGTGATTCATTTTTTTGTTGACAGTGAAATAACGGAGAAGACTTGTAGCTCAATTGGATGATATTGGACACAACTAACTCAATTTCCTTGATAGTGTCTGCCAAAAGACCCAGGAAAAAAAGAAGACAAACATTTTCGGCCAAGCTCATCGGGGGTGACAGTTGTGTGGTTCCTGGAGAATCCTAGCAAAAGAACTCGCTTCACGTTGAAGAAGATGCTGAGAATTTAACCAAAAAGGAATATGAAAAAGCTTCACGGTTAAAACACTCACCTCAAAGGACACAACGATACCACGAATGTGAACACGAGCAACAAATCGTCTGCAATATATATATATATATATATAATGTAAAACCTCTTCATATTATTGCCTTGTTTAGTTCGGTTAAGTAGTCGTTCATTTATCCTAATTATTTTGAAGGATTAATTGTTTCCCAAAGTCGTTCAATTCATGGCATTATGTTCAAAAGTAGCAGAGAGATTTTCCCCTGTCAATCAGTAATACTTCAAATGAGACATTTACATGAAAGGAATGCACTCATTTATTGTTGGTGATTTTGTAATCTTCAAATTACAGTTTAACACTTCTTTACGACCACACTTGATATAAATCATACTGGATATGTTTACAGTGATATAACTAAATGACACTTACAGATAAATAGTAAAGTTTTTAGAGACTTGGCAAAATTTGTTTATTCTGCGTCACACATAATCAAAAATAACAATCACTTTTTGTGATAGGAAGTGGAAACGCTTGCCTATATATTTTTCGATTAGAGAGTGGCTACAGTTGTGATAAGTTGTATTAGTCCATTGCTTTGTTTTATTTTCTGTCCTTATACTTTCGACTTAATATCATGTCGTATATTGCAATTTAAATGAATTTACCGATAAACAAACATCATTTATTGTTGGGATATAAAATTTGTAACGTAACTGAACTATCAGTGCTGGAAAGGCAAGCCTCATTCATAAAATCACAACACAGTTATTGGTTTAAAGACTGAGACTTAGTCTTTCGGCATGTTTTACTCCAAGAAGTTTAAGATATTGGGTTTCTTAAAATAAGTGAAATTTGGCATAGCTGCTTCACTTTCGTAACAATGTCTTTCTACAGGATTTATTACCAGTGAAGTGATGTATTGGGACTATTTCTATATGTCGAAGATCGAAAACACTTCATTGTCAAAATTCGATATTTTAGGCTCTTGTCATAAATACTAGAAAAAAATACGAATTGAAGAAACACCAAATAGTTTTGCTCATTGTGAGTAGTAAACAAACTTTCACACATCCAAAATATCCATGAAAATTCCATTATGGGTAAATTTTTGTTTTGATAAAGTCTCACAGTGTTATACAGTAATGTTTACTGATGACGTTTCGAGCACAATTTATTGCTCATAATCATATCAAGGTATTCACACGACTTCCTAACATCATTTATATAGTTCCATTATTTTTCACTTGATTTGATTGGCAGTAGTATTTTCCATATTTCAGGTATGAGTGATGACTCATTCCTATTGCATGTGTTTGGTGTGGACTCGATGAACAAGGATTCAGAGAGAGGTTGATTACTGAATAATGGAACTATATAAATGATGTTAGGAATTCGTGTGATTACCTTGATATGATTATGAGCAATAAATTGTGCTCGAAACGTCATCAGTAAACATTACTGTATAACACTGTGAGACTTTATCAAAACAAAAATTTACCCATAATGGAATTATACTCTACCACAGTGCACAAGTTTTATTCTTATATTCATGAAAATGTTTTTTGTCAATAAATAATCCAGATTTTAGACTTGTCCTTTTGCCAAACAGCCTTTTTATCACATAAAGTTTCCATTGTTTTCTTTTTTGTGTAGCTTGGTCGAAGAAGTTAACGTATTAGGACAAACGTTAGATAAATTATTGCATCAATATTCAACAGTTGAAAATAAACTGAAGGATTTACATGATACTCAAATGATGCTTGAAAAGGAGATTGAACTAAAAACTGAAACGATTCATCTTAATGAGGTGGGATGTATACCAAGAAGAGCATATTATCCTTCAGCCGCACAACTGCAAGGATATTAATCAATTAAATAAGCATAAATATTGGAGATTTAGGACTAGACAACTATTTTAAGACAATGGTTTAACTATAACGACATTTCATTAATTCTTTTTGTGACATGTGGTTTGTTTTTATTGTGAGATTCGTTGAATTCTGCCATTATTCATACTTATTATTATGTCATTTTACTTAGCTACTTACTACATAATTTCTATAAGCGGAGTTGGAGATAAATAAACAAATTCTCGCATTTTAAACAATTCATACTCAATGCCTATAAGTCAGCCATGCTGTACAGCCTTTCCACAAACACAGAACGACCCTGCAAAACGCACCATATAGCACCAAATACTGTGGAATTGACAGGGAAATATCTTGAGCAAACGTACATTGTTTCATAATAGCCGAAACTGAGAAAACATTTGAACAAGTAACTAGAATTAGATGGACTACTATGTGAACGAGTGACTGAATTTCTCTTCTCATCATAAGTATCTGATTATTGAAATATAAAATAATGAAGGTGTTATATAATAGGAATATGATGACGGTTAAAAGAGATTTTGTGTGTTAGCATAATGCCACTTTATTATCACTTGATGATAATTTTTACTACAATCATTGCTTCACATTCAAGGACTGGTGCGTGGTAAGACAAGTTAAGCATAGTCGGAATTCTGATTCTAGAGAAATGATGTTACTACAAGCGAAATGGTTATCATATGAATTTGTTAAGAAGACAATAGTGTTGGGAGTATTATTCTACACTATTTTATACATGTGATCTTATTATTTTAAGATTTACTCCTTCAGTCTGTTACTGGACAAAGATTATTGCAGAGATAAATCCATGATCAAACTTACCAGTTAACATCTGAAAACTAATCTGAATATTTTATAAAATTATATTTGTAAAACCTCGGCGAAATTGAAATGATTAATTACAACGTTTCGTTCGGCAATCTGGTCCGAACTTCTTCAGGGAATCAATCATTTCAATTTCGGTGAGATTTTACAGATATAATTCCATAAATATTTATGTGGTGATTGGCAATTTCTATCTCTGTATTGTTTAAATACTTACTGTTGACTGTTGATAAGTTTCTTATATGAATTGCATAATAATTCCGCTAAATACAAATTCCTGAATTCCGCCCTCTCTGTGTTTTGGTTGGATTCTTGTAATTCGGTCATCTCGAAATACTAATATTGCGACTACAATAAATTACTACAATTTACTTCTCACTCGGCGCTCAATTATTTTGCAACTATCCGGTCAAATCTTGATCACAGTTCATATAATCTGATACTTATTAGTAACTGTTCATAGAACTAAGTTGCCTGGAGTTCTAGTGAGAATTCGTGACCAGTGGGGTCTACCGGGTCGGGTGTAAAGACCAAGAAATGACAGAAGTGAGAATTTGTGAGCCATTGAATACCATCTCAGAAGCTGAATGGTCGACGAGCTTGAATTGCAACCTAAGGATTTTAGGTTCGATTCCCTGTAATGTCGTGAGTGCGCACTGATGAGGAGTCCTAAACAAGGACAAAATAGCTGTTCAGCGCTTCCTAGTTTTCAACGGTCCTCCATCTGATATCATTCCGTGATCAGATAAAACCAATCAGATTCATATATTCAACACTTAAAAATAGGCCAATGACTTAACGTCTAGCTTTACTTAGCATATTGCAATCAATTCCAAACAGATGGATCGAAACTGCAAGAAGCCTTGTTTTCCATTTATCATTGAGTCAATGTATGATGCAGTAACCCAGTGTGAACCTTTCAAAGAAATAGGAAAGCACTACCATTCTAATCCAATATTCTAGAGTTCTGAGAAATGGCTCAGGCACAATCCGACTGTTCATGTAATCAAACACGATAACCGCTTCTAAAGATCTCTTGAGGGACAGTTACTAATAAAATTGTCTGATCAAAGCATAATTGCTTACTTTATGTAGAATTGACTGATTGTTTCACAGTGAGAATTCCTCCAATAGTGGAATGACTGATATGTGCAAGGCATATCTGTTGATCATTTCTATGTTGGTAGTGACACAAAACTCAATAAATTATGAAGACAAGACTGATTTCAACGGAAATTTATCCTGATACATAAAATAGTTGGAAAAAAGTATGAATTGGTTTAAATGCGATGGACAAGAGGTAAATTCGTTGAGAAATTACTTCTCTTTGGCTCTGTATACACTTAAACCATCTCAGAATCACACATACGAAGATTTTTAACTCATAGTATTGATCTATGAATTTTCTAACTGTTATCGTCAGTCAAGTGGGAATGTGTAGACTGACGGTTGAGATCTCCAGGATGCTAAGATTCGACAGCCAAACACTGTTAGTGATAAAGCTGAAAATTGTTTTGATTGGTTCAGATACATTGACTCTTCGTAACTTCACAAATCCATTAAAGACTCAATATTCCCCGTGTAATTGTTGATTCTCCCACATATTATAGTTTTCTGGCATTTGTTTTCTTATCTTTATATGAACTTGATGAAATATAGTGAACTGAACTGTTGAACATTTTGAGTAAAATCATACATCGGGAATTCGTGGCAGTTCAGTCTACTCGTCAAAGTTTGTGATCACGATACGAATACTTTGAGGAGATTCGCCAACATTCATAGAACGTTTTCAGGTATTTCACGCCATCTTTTAGGTTAAAGCTGACATTCTGATGTGTAGGATGATTTATTTATTATACGATATCCGCTTTAATCACGCCTAAAAATTTGAAATGTCAACAATGTAGATTACTTTTAGTCGAAAGATGCTATCTTTTCTCAGCGATGTGGAACTTCGTGAGTTTGCCAGTATTTTAAGATTTATTACATAAATGGTATTGACATTCCAAAGAAAAATATACAGTTTCGATTTCTAGTGATTTAGGTTCGAAGGTGTTTTACTATTTCTAATGGATTATCAAGTAAGACTACACTCCCTCCATTCGAATCTCTTCATCCTAGTCGTTTCACATTGCAAGTTTACCAGCTGCTCCTAAGCTCAGCAAAGGACAGAAGACTGGGAGTGTCGCTAGCGTCCTTACTATGGAAAAGCAGTCAAATCGCTACAGAAACCGAAATGCACAGAAAAAATAATAAAAATAAACCTATCTGTAACTAGAATACACGAGACTAAATGATGCAGATTAGTGAAGGCCCTCTGGAAGCCAGCCCGTCTTATATCGATGGAAGCGAAAATAAACACGAGGGAGTGGGATGTTTCCACAATGTACAAAGTTGGGAAGGCTATCCAAGTCTATGAATAATTCAGAAGGCACGAAAAAGAAATAAAGATTAAATGTGGGCACTGTGATAGGGTATCACTCCATTATGGATAAAATTTCATTTTGATAAAATCACACTGTTATACAGTAATATTTCCTGGTGACCACGTTTCGAGCACAAATTATTGCTCATAATCATATCAAGGCACTCACATACACACACACACAACTTTCTGGCTTCATTTGTATCCTAAAGTTTGTAGAAGCCCTAGCAATCAGAAAGTTCAAGCCACCTTTGTGCGTTCAAAAACAATTCGTCATGACATTAAACCTTCCTTGGTAAATTTTGTTTTGATACCATAGCAGAGATACTATTACCTCTTCTTTTTGGTTTAGTGGTCTTCATTGTTATTTTGACATTGAATATGTCCTTTTAATTTGACCTATATCTATTTTCTCACCTCTTACCTCTTCATATATATTCATTCCTATGACAAGTCTGTGTGTGATCAGATTGTTCGAAATGTGTTGCGCAAGTACATTACACGGTTCAGACAAATTACGTCTTCTTGTCGCTTTATATAAAATCAATATAAGATAAAGTACATTCGGAAATAATATTAGACGCAATAAGAAGACGTAATTTTTCTGAATCGTATAATACACTTGCGCGACGCATTTCGAACAATTTGATCACACACGGACTTGTCATAGGAATGAATGTGTATGAAATTACCAACGAGTTAAAAGGTGAGAAAATAGATCTAGGTCAAGTTAAAAGGACATATTGAGAGTGAAAATAACAATGGGTCCAGGACACAGATTCCCCAGGACCCACTAATGGGGAGAACAGGAGACCTAGCTCCTCTGTTGCGAAACACATTATAGAGACAACACATAAAATTGACGTTACACATCTCTTAAACCTATCTATAAAACGTGTTTGGAGGAGGGCGTATTCTAAAGTTTGTGAAGGCCCTAGTTGGCAATGAAGGGACTTAGACCACCTATATGCGTTCAAAGCAACAATTCGTCATCACACTCAAACTACATTTCTTGGTAAACTTTGCTTTGGTACCAGTCAGGGCAGATGTACTGTTACCTCTCTTATTTGGTTCAGTGATCTTCATTGTTATCTTGACCTTCAGTATGTCCTTTTAACTTGATCTAAGTCTATTTTCTCACCTTTTGACTGTTCATTAATTTCATATATATTCTATGACAAGTCCGTATGTGATCAGATTGTTGGAAATGTGTTGCGCCAATACACTACACGTAACAGGCAAATATTAGTGTAATCAATCAAAAACAATCAGATGGGAAATAAGATGTTTTTATAGTAACTTGTTGGAATGTTATGATGTCAATTGAATACATTCTAACATTATTTATTATCCGCTGATTTAACTGGTGGTAATAGTCTCTTCCATATCTCTGGCGTTTGCTTTAAGTCATTTCTAATGCATGTGTTGATGAACCAGGATTCAGTGATCAATCTATCTCCCTCTCTATCTCTCCAATTACCTATACCCCCTTTTAGAATCTTAACCATCTCCCACCCTATTGTGTAGTTGTGTGTTGAGCTGAGCTTTTTTCTAAATTACTTACCTTCGTGAGATCAATCATTCTAACCCTAGCCAAATTCTTGTGTTCTGGTAATCTCACTACTCCTGATCTACTAGTTTGACCTATGTAGTTGGCCTAACTCACAGTCATTGCGAGGCATTTTGTAAAGTGTATGATTTTATTTGATTGGGTCCACTGGGTCTTTC